GTATTACCAGTGGATTATGAAATAATGTATTGTCAAGGTGGGTTGTTAAATCTCACTTATGCTCCATATGAAAATTCAATAATAAATTCAGAATTTCCCTAAATCATCTTGCAAAGGGCATAACTGGATAAAAAAGCATTAAATTCATGATGAAATCAGAAAATTCATCTTCTGTTTATGTGTCTCTAAATTCCTCCTTCTGGCACAAAAATGAAAATATGCAGGGGTAGGGCTGGGGAGAGTTATGTTGTGGGTTTTTCATTTTCATTAACTCTTCCTTTATCCTCACCCTCTTCCTGGTTCCTAGAGACTATGTCCTTTGGCCATGGAGCAGTCAGTCAGCAGAAACTAGGAATCCCCACCGCCTTTACATGTGGTGGCCTCACTCTTGCATGATATATTTTTTCTTTAGGTTTCTTGTCTATGGCTGGGTGCTGAAGAGGAGCTATGGGCCGGGCACAGTGTATCACACCTGTAATCCTAGCACTCTGGGAGGCCAAGGTGGGTGGATTGCCTGAGCTCATGGGTTCGAGACCAGCCTGACCAAGAGAGAGACCCCTGTCTCTAAAAATAAAATAAAATAAAATAAAATAAAATAAAATAAAATATCTGGGTGTTGTGGTGGGTGCCTATAGTCCCAGCTACTCAAGCTACTCAGGAAGTTAAGGAAAGAGAATATCTTGAGCCCAAGAGTTTGAGGTTGTTGTGAGCTATGATGCCATGACATTCTATGGGTGACAAAGTGAGACTCTGTCTCAAAAAAAGGGGGCGGGGTATCTGGAGCTGGAGCAGGAGCTGGGGCTGGAGAAGGAAGGTTGGTGCAGTCTCTGGCACTAGAGCAAGATTAGCCCCTCTTGCTACAGCAATTGTCCTTTTCTTTTTCACAAGCTGAAAGATGCTAATCTCTTCTCACTCCCTGCCTGCCAGACAACTTACAGACAGAAAATAGTCCCTGTGGCCTTTCTTTGGAGATGTTTATCACCACTTCTGGGCCAGGCTTATGAGCATATAGGAGAGTTCTTAAAGAGAAAACATCTGATCACAATGTCAGTAAGGGGTCATCATCCTGCCCTCAGGGCTGTGAGCTATTTATGCTGAGGTTGCTTTCCTTCAGCTCCCATTTTTTCTGGACCCAAAACATTTACTTTCTTCTACTTTCCCATTTTATTTCAGCCCCTGTAACCTAACACTCTCATAACCATCAGCAAATTAATTTTGTCAAGGGAGAGACAAATAAGGATACTATAAACTTACCAAAGTCATATACAAATTCCCTTGTGATAAAATCAATTTATCTATATATATGGAATAAATAACCTTACACATTTTGTGTTGGTCACTTAAACTAATAAATGTTCTTTTTTAATAAATGATTTTTTTTTTTAGACAGAGTCTCACTCTGTTGCCCTGGGTAAAGTGCGATGGCATCATAGCTCACAGCAACCTCAAACTCTTGGACTCAAGGGATCCTCTTGCCTCAGCCTCCTGAGTAGGTGAGACTACAAGACCCAACAGGGTCTGGAGTTTGCTCAGGCTGATTTCAAACTCCTGAACTCAGACAATTCACTGACCTCAGCCTCCCAGACTGCTAGGATTACAAGTGTGACCCATAACACATGGCTAAAAAATAGAATTTTGTTTTATATTTAGTTCATAAAAGGTTTATCATTCTTACTACTTTTTTCCTAGTATCTGTAATTTAAAAATAAGAAAATCTTATTCAGATCTTTATAATTTTGTGTTGATTTAACTACAAACGTATTGAATCCTATACCCATACTCTACTCTCTTGTTTGAGTATATAAAAAATATAAGGTATTAATGTCACTTATTTTACCTCCAAGTTTTGCTCTGATGGAAATGTCTGGCACTTTCCTGGAATTCCATCTCCTGTCCCGTTGCAGTTCTTCTGATAGAATTGTTTGCCTTTTCACTGTTGTTTGAAAACCTGTGTCTGATCTGGGAACTCGATGTTGAGGTTTCACATCACTGAAACTCACCAAGCTTGGTATCATTTTGCCAATGCCAGGATTTAAATCAGCATCACCACCAGGACTCATAAAGCCTGAACAGGGATCACCTAATGGCACTTCATCCCGAAGTGGAAATAATGGGTAATCTGGCCCATATGGTGGAGGATATGGATAGTGCAAATGATAGTCTGGCAGGACTGAAGGTGGATAAGGGTGAAATTTAAGAAAAGAAGGGTTGCATTTCTTTTCAAACCTGCCATAGTTATGTCTGTCCTCATAGCCCTTCACAAAAGGCATATTCATTTTTCTTAAGCTATCACAGTAATGTGGGTACTCTGTATCCTCAACATCATTTGTTCGTGAAAGGATGGGCCTTTTAGAGATACTTATCTTTCCTGGTGTATGCTGAACCTCCATATTCATAACTGTTCTCTTTAGACTTTTTGAACACTATCACTTAAGTACTTCTGATGATTCTTTCAAATTAGGGTTAATCTAGTATAAAATTATTGATTCAGCTTTCTGAATGTTGGTAGCGTAGATTTTTTTCTCATCAAGATAATTTTTTTTCCTCCACCAAAGAAAAGGATAGGGCAGTAAAAGAACAGGAAAGAAGAAAAGCAGTGGAACCCCTGTTGCTTGGTAACAGATAGAACTCTAAAACACTGGAACATTTATTATGTACTTCATAACTTAATTCTTAAGAAAAACAAAATAGGTTTGATAGTGATACTTCTATGATACTCTTCTCCCCAACACTCAGGAAAGCTGTGCTCATTTATTTATTTTTAACTTTTCCCACAACTTGATACTTTATGTGTATAAAATATATTTAAGCAGTATAAAGAAGTTAACCCAGTGATAACATGATATATTTAAAAAGTATATATGTAATTATAATTATGTATTTACTCTATAGATATGAGAAATAAATCATAACACTAACTAAATATATGCTATAATAAATGTAAGTCTTAATACACTGCAAAATATAAACAGGTATTACACTAAACTTGAATTGGTGTATCTAATTTTGAAGGTTAGTAATTTTCAAATTTTAGTCAAAAGCACAGGTTCATCCTTTACATGCCCTAAATTATCTCTACTTCCTTTAACGTTACCATGAGGTCCGGAGTAATCTGGCAAACTCGTTTTACAAAACTACAATATCAGTTCTTAGTTTACACTGTAAAATATCACTTAAATTATTAATATACCAGTTAATTTAAATATTCTTTAAATAATAATAATTAATAAATAATTTATTCTTGCATAAAAACTGTTACTATAGGGAGGTTCCTGTGGCTCAAAAGGGTAGGGTGCCAGTTCCATATGCTGGAGTGGTGGGTTCAAACCCAGTCCTGGCCAAAAAACTGCAAAAACCCCCCAAACAACTGTTACTATAAGAACTCCAAATATTAAAATTTGGTGATTAAAAGATTACACCTTACCACAGCAAAAATGCAAAACAGGCAAGTGATGGTGATAGGTTTGTTAAAACCAGATTGCCTATGGCCCACCTAAAGTCATTAAAATTTTGAGATATACTATTCTGCAGGAAAGTTGCATTAGATGCCTGGGCTAATAGTTTGAAATTCCTCGTCCAGAACACAACATATTCAGGGACACTTTTTAGTTCACTCAGGATCACTCATTTCTTCATATTAAAGATAACAATTAATTTACCATTTGGTATTTTGTCTATAGTTACTCAGACTTCATTCTTCAATGTATTTGCTCCAACAGTCCTGTTCCCATTGAGTAATCCTTCCATCAGCAGAAATGTAGAGGTATAGTTTTCCTTTGATTTTTATTAAACGTGTCCTGGTTATAGACTTCTCTAGGCTCTGTAAGGGAAGAAAATAATAACCCCTAACCATAGGTTTGTAATTGGAAAGGACCTCCATTTAGAAAACCTTGGAAGTTTTATTATTTTCTTATGTATATTTCACTTATATATGGGAGACACCCAGAGAATAAATTCTCAAAGAGATGGCTTTGAATTCTAGCTTACACAGCATCTTCAACAAAGAATGTACATTTTTAGAGTTGTGACAAGAGGAAAGAAAACAACTTTTGATTCTCTACAGGAAGCAAACTGGAGTGAAGGCATACAAATGCCAGACAAAGATTACTAAAGCTTTTTAATATTAATTCATCTGGTATTATCTCAAGGTAGATGAGAATTTGAAGCTGTCTTCAGTGGATAACTCTTTCTTCATGGGGGAAGGCACAGGATAACTTTTGTCTTTGTAATCTATGTCGTTCCTGCTTTTCGACAAAAAGAGAAAGGTAACAGAGTGCACCTGCTTCCTGTCTTCAGGTCAACAATCTTTCACATTTTCGGTAGGCATATTCAGGTCTCCCAAAGTTGATAGGTTGTTTTCTGTTTTTCTGAATTTAGGCAGTAGAAGATGATCGTCCAGGCTGAGTACTGCAATAAAGTCAATTTCATCCAGGTCATTTTCTCCATTTTCCCATGAAGCTTCTTTCTGGTGTTAAAAGCTTACTTTTAATTCCCAATAGGTGTGTGCTGCATTTATACCCAAGTAAAATCCACACATCCATCAAATATTAGTTGCCTACAGTGCTAGATCCCAGCAATCCTCGGGACTCATAAATTCTCACTATCAGGTTCTGATTGGCCGTCAAATGCTGAGATTGGGCTACCACCTGGCTTCTGTAAAGGGCGTTCCCTCTGTCCACAGAAGCCACAGGAACATGTACACGCCGGCTTTGAGGCCCCACGTTCCTCTCCAGAATCTTCGATAAGGGGTGTGTGCTTTTGAGGATTCCCTTAGTGATGCCGTCGTCGTAAAGGCCCAGCGGCCTCTCACCACAGTTAGCAAGCACTCATCTTTTCAGCAGAGTGCTGACACGGGCCTTTCTCCAGCGGCCCGTCCTGGCGGAAGTGGCTGGGCGCCCGTCCGATCCGTCCTTCCGGTGCGCCGCCCCGGACTTCCGGCGGCGGGTGGGCGCGCGCCAGGCAACGACCGTATCCGCGGTCACTAGGCAGGAGACGGCGTGTGGATGGAGGCCTCGGCCCCTGGCCGGGCGCGGCGGCGCTGGCGAGGGGCTCGGAACGCGGGCTCCCCGCTCGCCAGGGCCGCTGTCATCCTCTTTCTCTCCGCCTTTCTGGTGCGGGCGCCCGAGTCAGGTGAGGGTCGGTGTCCCTTGGCCGGCGGGCTCGGCGGGCTCGGTGAGGCAACATGGACTCGCCCCTCCCCCACGGAGAATTGCTTTCTCTTGTGTCACGTGCACTCCTTTTATGTAAAGAAACACTCTACTCACTGATACCTGACGAGGAAGGTTTATTTTATAGAGAAGTTGTACAAAGGCACTTTACATTTGCATAGAGGAACGAATGACAGGGGGCATTAATAATGTATGGCTAGAATAGATCACAAACATCTGCATTTAAAGTTTTAAAGTTAGATTGATTTGTTAATGAATTGCCAAATTCAGTTGATAGGTCATTTGCCAACTGTACGTTTCCCTGCGTGAACTCTGTAATGATGGTAAATGCATTCTTTCCTTTCAAAATGAATGGGCGTCCTGCCACTTTGAATTATCTGTGATACTGGAGCGCCATCTGCTGCTGTTAGATGTGAAACGCGACAAATACAGGGATTTTAAAGTTTTGACCTATGAATTGAAATGCTTTTCTTTCTTTCTTTCTTTCTTTCTTTCTTTCTTTCTTTCTTTCTTTTAATTAAATCATAGTTGTGTACATTAATACTATCATGGGGTACAATGTGTTGTTTCCATATACAATTTGAAATACTTTCATCCAATTGGCCAACATAGCCTTCATGTCATTCTGATAGTTGTTGTGTTAAAACATTTATATTCCACATTTAGGAAGATTCACATGTACCCTTATAGGATAAATCATAGGCGTGATCCCAACAATCACCCTCCCTCCACCCATCCTCCCCTCTCCCCTCTCCCCTTTCCCCGCTATTCTAAGGCTAAAATTTGGTTATAGCTTTCCTATGATAGCTAAAAATTAGTTTCATAATAGGATTGAGTAAATTGGATACTTTTTCTTCCATTCTTCAGATACTTTGCAAAGAAGAATATTTTCCAGCTCCATCCATGTAAACATGAAGGAGGTATATACTGTTTCAAAATACATGAAAGATAGTGATGAACAAACACTGCAGAAAGAAATGAAAGTTCAATTTAACTATTATTTAACCAGGAAGTTTTTGGTTGCATTATCTTGTGTTCAAATTCTAGACCTTTAAAAACTAAGATCTCAGAATTGATAAAAAGCACAAAAGAGATTTGTTTCAAATGTAAAAATTGTTCAGATAAGATAGAATGAAAAAAAAAAAAGACGCCCTCCAAGAATATAAATGTAGAAGGAAAGTAGAGGTAGGCATGGGATAGGGAGGAGAAAGGAGTGATGGAGATTAAAAGATTTCTCAAAATCTAGATATCAGGAATCCAAAGATGGTTCATATATAAATACAGGAACAGCCAATAGCCTTTACTTGCCATGTAAGACAAAAATGCTTCTTGAACCGTGTTTATGGTCTTGTACTAGGTATGAAAGGGTGTGTATTTGAAAATTTTACCTGTCTTTTGATCTGGTAACAAGATTGGACCTATGAGTGTGTAAGAAATAGAAAAAGAAGTCAATATCATAATATGTAGCCTATGACTAACAAAGGCCTCATTTATATAGCCTTTTGCAGTTTATACAATATTCTACTCAGTTACTATAACCTAAGTCCATAGGGCTGGGATTAGTAGTCCCATTCTCCATATCAGAAAACTGAAGCTCCCTAGAGTTTAAAGTGACTTTCCTAAAACCAGCAGGTTGTAGAATTAGGATTTAAACTCAGGTCTTCTGGCATTGAATTCTGTATTTTTCCTTTGCACTTTATTTCCTGCCTCTGTTAAAAGTAATTTGGGTATGTTGAATTTTTATACTGTCCTTCCCACTTGTTCTGTTCACACTATTAAGCCACATTTACTCATTCAAATGTTACTGATGAATATCAGGATGTATTCCTAATTATTACTTAGCATTCACTACGTGCCAGCTGTATACTAAGTGTTTGGCTTGATAAGTTGGCATAAACACTGATCCTACAATCACTGGAGCTATAATCTAATAAGGGAAAGGATATATGTATATGATGAACTGTAATACAATGTACAATGAGTGCTAAAGATAGATGCTAGTGATGTGCTATGGTAGGTAAGAAATAATAAGGAAAAACAGATACGTTGAAGGAGAAGAAACTTGAAGTTTGAGTCTTGAATGGTGGGAGACTGGGACTTTTAAAAATGAAGAAAGCATTTACGTGGATGTAAAAAAAAGCAGTAAGAGATAAAAGGGAGAGACAGTAGGTAGATTAAATTCATCAGAGCATGTGAAGGGTAAAGTTGGAATAGAGAAATTATCTGTCAGAGGAGATTGATATATGACGTTCTTTTTCAACCAAGATCAAATATACTATATTATTGTTATTTGAATATTTTTGAATTTCACATGAGGCAAATTGTTGATCATTTGTTTTTGTTTTTAATAGTTGGATATTTGGTTCGATTGCCAAGAGGTTTTCGCTTGAGTCAAGATTCGTCGAAAATAGTGGGATCAGCCAGTTCCCCAGGTAATCACAAGTAGATTTTCAGTAATTTTAAGAAAGTTACTAGCATTTAAAAGATTTTTTTCAGTCTTATTCAATAGGTTAATCTTCACCAGTTATCCTAATTTCCTAAGGCCCTTTTTCTTCTATAGAAAAGGATTAAATTCTTTCTATGTACTTAAATGTATCCAGATCTAATTCTGTATGCTACAACTACTTATGTGTACAAAGAATAATTATTTCTAAAAATCATATGAAATTGCTTGCAGTACCTTTTTTATTATATAAGTAACTATAATAGTTAATTATGTTAAAACTTTTTTCAAATGTGATATCTACAAATTATAACGATTTTGGACTCATAACATTTTACAGTAGTCACATGAGGCAAAGCAACTACACCTTTACTTTGCATATGTATTTTTTTAACTTTGGTAAATTCACATGCCATCAAATTCTTCCTTTAAAGTGTACAAGTTCAGTTGCTTTTAGTATATAGACAAGATTTGGCAACCATCAACATTATCTAATTTTACAACATTTTTATCATTCCCCAAAGAAACACCTTACTCATCAAGCAATTAACTCTCCAGCCCTGGAAACCACTAATATGCTTTCTGTCTTTACAGATTTGTTTATCTTGGACCTTTCATGTAATCATACACTAGATGGCCTTTTGTGTTTGTTTTCTTTCACTTAGTATGTAATGTTTTTGAGTTTCAGCCATGTTATAGGATGTATCACTACTTATTCCTTGATATAAATAATATTCTTTTGTATGTGAGCACACCTTTCATTTCTCTTGGGGTGTATACCTAGGAGTAGAATTTCTGGGAAATACAGTAACTCTATGTTTAACATTCTGAGGAGCTGCCAAACTATTTTAATTCACATCAGCATTATATGAGGGTTTGAATTTTCCACATTCTCACCAATACTCGTATTGCCCATGTTTTTGGATTATAGCCATCCTAGTATGTTTGTGTTATCTTGTTGTGGTTTTTATTTGCATTTTCTTAATGACTAATGATATGTTACTTGTCATGATATGTTTTATAGCCACATGAATATGTATTTCGTAGAAATGCCTATTGAAGTCCTTTGCCTATTTTTAACCATTTGCTTCTTTTGTTGTTGAATTCTTCATATATATTTATTTTAAGTACTAGACCTTTATCAGGTACATGATTTGTGAGTATTTTTCCCCTTCTCCGAATTGCGTTTTTACCGTGTCCTTGAAACATAGGTCATAAGCTTCTATTTTCTGTACTTTATTTGGTGCTGATGCTTTAGGTGCCATATGTAAGAAATTATTCCCTAATCATTGGTCACAAATTTTTACTACTGTGTTTTCTTATAAGAGTTCTGTAATTTTAGCTCTTAAGTTTAGGCCTTTGATCTGTTTTGAGTTCATTTTTGCATGTGGCACAAGAAAAGGCCATTTTCATTCTTTAGTATGTGGATTTTCAGTTGCTTTAGCAGGATTTATTAAAGAGACTATTCTTTCCCTATTGAAATATCCTGCATACTTATTTAAATGCCATTGGCCACAGTTGTATGCGTTTATTTCTGGATTCTAAATTTGTTCCACTGATTCGTACGTCTCTCTATCCTATGCCATTATTTTGTCTTAATTATTGTAGATCTAAGACTTATAGTAAGTCTTAGAATCCATATGTGTGATTCGTTCAAATTCGTTTTCTAGGTTGTTTTGGATACTCCAGGTTCCTTGCAATTCCATAATAATGCTAGAATCAGTTTGTCAATTTCAACAAAAAACCCATTTGGATTTTAATTGAGATTGCATTGAATCCATAGGTCAATTTCAGGAGTATTCACACCTTAATAATTTTAAATATTCCTATCCATGAACTTGGAGTGTCTTTCTATTTGTGTGTTTTTAAATTATTTTCAATGATGTTTTGTAGTTTTCAGTATACAAGTCTTACATTTCTTTTTTAAAATTGACGTCTAAGTATTTTATTATTTTTGATGCTATTGTAAATTGCATCATTTCACTTACTTCAGTTTTGGGTTGCTAATTGCTAGTGTATGAAATACAACTGCTATTTTCATATTGTACTGACATCATTAAGTATGATGGGTAGCTGTGATTATTCATTTATTTTTTGTAGGTACCTTTTATCAGTTTGAAGATTATCTTTTCTGTTCCCAGTTTGTTGAATGATTTTATTGGGTCTTACTGGGAAAAAGGTTAGGGTTTGGTAAATGCTTTTTCCCATATCTATGGAGATGAATATGTGTTTTTTTGTCCTTTATTCTGTTAATATGATGAATTACACTGATTTTTGTATTTTGAACTCGCCTTGCATTCCTGAGATAAAGCCTAGTTGATTATAATGTTTAATCTTTTTTTATGTTGCCAAATTAGGTTGCTAGCATCAGGAATATTAGCTTGTAATCTTGTGATGTCTTTGTCTGATTTTGGTTTTAGGTTAATACTGGCTTCATAGAATAAGCTGATATGTGTTCTCTCCTCTTTTATTCTTTGGAAAAGTTGTGAAGGATTATTGTTAATTCTACTTGTCTGATGAAATTTACCAGTCAATCCATCTGGTTTTGTACCTTTCTTTGTGGGAAGTTTTTTGATAACTGTTTTAAGTGCTGCTTGTTGTAGGACTATTCAGACTTTGTATTTCATTATGGCTTCTGATAAGAAACCAGCACTTAATTGAGTATCACTTTTATATGATGTTGTTTCTCTGTTACTGCTTTCAATATTCTTTGTTTATGGATTTTGTTCATTTGATCATGGTGTATCTGGATATGTTTTTTTTTAAGTTTATCAAAATTGGAATTTATTGAGGTTACTAGATATGTGGATTCATGTTATTCATCATATTTGGTAAATTTTTACCATTATTTCTTTAAATATTCTTTCTGACCCCTTCTCCCCTTTTTCTGTGACTCTCATATTCATGCATTGATATGCATGAGGGTTTCCTATAGTTCTCTGTGTAATTTATCTCTCTCATTTATCTTTTTATTTTACTGTTTCTCAGAATAGATAATACAAAATTGAGCTGTCTTCATGTTCACTGATTCTTCTGCCTTCTTTTTTTTTTTTT